AACACACAAAAAAGTAAGTTTTCTCTACTGTTTATCACACATTTGCACTGATACCTCTCCACGTTTTCTGTATATCAAATCTGAAATCATCTTTGATTGTTTGCTTCACTCGTTTGACTACACATCTGAGAAGACGCATTACCCACCTTTGGATTTTATTCCAAATATTAAAAGAACATTCATGTTTTTCTCAGCACGTCTCATTAACTTCCTCAACAAATCTCCACAAACCTTGTGTTTACCCATTGCATTCGTCATTAAATTTGACAAAACAGTTTGATTATTTTTACTATAATATTTCACAGATTCCATCATTCCTTCATTCTGATATTTATTAATGTGCACATTTATTGTTGCTTGACACATTTTTGCAGGCGAAATCCAGTAGGAATCCGTACATATATATCCATACATCTATATACATCCATTATATATAACAGGGCTGCCCAAACTCGGTCCTGGAGGGCCGGTGTCCTGCAGAGTTTAGCTCCAACTTGCCTCAACACACCTGCCTTTAAGTTTCTAGTATGCCTAGTAAGAGCTTGACTAGCTGGTTCAGGTGTGTTTAATTGGGGTTGGAGCTAAACTCTTCAGGACACCGGCCCTCCAGGACCGAGTTTGGGCAGCCCTGATATATAATATATATTTTTTCTATGTTACTGACAGAACAGTTTAGGAAGGGTAGAACAGAAAGGATAGAATAGTTTAAAAACTGCACACAAGCACTATCACGCGAGATGTCAGAGCATATGAACAGCCCACTGGGTAACACCTCTGACATTAACATTGTTTTTAACTAATGGAAATTCTTGCTGACTTCTTATTGTATTATGGGTTGCTAACATGTTATGGTCATGATTAATACAATCCTCGAACGAGTGAGCACACTCAAAGTCTTCCAGAATGCTCCTCGCTCCAAGCAAAAATCATGCACGCTTTGCTCACATACAGTACTGTGGTGAATAGAGAATGAGAAAGATAGAGAGAGGGAGGGTATAGATAGATAGGGCCTAGAATAGTAGCTCCAATTCTCCATAGTTCCGCTCCATTGTTCACTTCCTTGTATCGAGTGCATATTGCTAGAATCACATCCTCATGTGACAGTTATTATTATATTCTCCATTTAAAGAGCCTCCATACTTATGGATAATCTCCTGTCATCTGCAATGTGTGTTCATTTCACAGTTTTCCATATGAAAGATTCAATTTATCGGTTCACAGAGCGAAAACGCTCACACGCCCCTTTATCTCAGTGCGATCACAATAATCAGTCAATGCTCATTACCGCAGGTTTTCATGTGTCTCATTTCCTCTAAGTACTGTAGAAGTGTTTATTCACAGAGTTGTGGTGGACAGTCTCACTGTACAAAAGCAGATGCAACTCTTGACTTGACTAGTTAAACTCATAGTTGGTTACTGACTGTGATACAGTCTGAACGGGTTGATGAGTGAGTCATGATGTTCCAGAAAAAAAACAAGGTTGGTTTACACTACACCAGTCTACAAAATCAGCATTAAATAAGCAGCTTATGAACTCTTAATCTTAAATGTGTTGGACAAACAATTTACAGTATGCAAGAGACTGTGATTGAACACTGAGTGATAAAATCACAATGATTAGCTGTGCATTACAGGGATCTCTTGTGTATTGGCAGATTAACTGTAATAGTGTTCACAGCAATATGCTGGCAACTTTGTATGCTGTTATTTTTGCATGCCTAGTTAATAACTCAACCACATGTATACAGGTTATAACAACCCCTCAGACAAATAGCTCACCCCTAATTATTTATTCTACATTTTATTTATTATTAATATTTTAATAACATTTCCCATGAACTGTAAAGTACAAACTTGCACATAAGTACAAGTAATGATGTAACTATGATTAACAGCTTATTTTCTTCATGTGATACAGTGCAACTAATTAGTCTGTAATTACACTAGCTGGGAGAACGTTAATCAAATGTAAATAAGGTCCAAATTCCCAGTCAAATGGAACACTAATTACTGCAGTAATGTCTTCAAATACACTATTACCCCACAATCAAGAACTACATAAACAGTATTTTTTTTAGAGTAATTGTTTGAATCATAATCTTATTACAATATTGTTAATACAATATTTTATTGTAGCAAATTCTGTAACATCCTGGTAATTTTTTAAGGTGATGGAGATATCAGCAAATGCCCTTGTGAAAAAAAGTGTGCTTTATTGAATGTGCACTTATAGTGTACTTAAGCTTAAAATAATAATTTTAAAAAATGTCACTTTCATGACTGTTTCCTAACACACCTTTTAAAAAGGTGTACTTTGTAATAATGCCTTTAATTAAAAGTTTTAATTTTTACAGTTTTTACTGCTTGATTTTTAAAACTCTAGTGTGTTATTCAATATTACATTTATAATATTAATATTAATTTATAAATTAATAATATTGACTTTTTGTAATTATATTTGTAATGAAGTTGCAGTTTAATATATTTTTATTTATATATAAAAAAATAATAAATTGCAACTTCATTACAAATGTAATTACAAATATATTTAAATATTTAAGATACAGGTGTCACTTGAAATTACATGAAAGTATATTTTAGTAAGTTACTTTTTAATCACTCTTTTTAAAAGTATCTTAATGTGGTCTCTTTTTCACAAAGGTGACTTAAATGTAAGTGAAATGTAAGTCAATGAAATGCATCTTCATCACTTAAATCTGTATATAGTCAAGAACTCTCAGACAGCATTTTATTGCTCTTGTTTTAGACAAGCAAAATGATTTGAAGCTCATATAGGCAGCTGCCTGAGGCTGTGCTCATGTTTCAGTGGGTTTCAGTTAGACTTTGGAGTGAAACTGTGATTTATGAGTACTGGCATATACAGTATATGCAGGAATAGATGTTTGGAAAAGCTTAGTCGTCAAGGTCTAATACATAAATGCAGTAATAAACAGTATACTGTGTTTCTGTAAATTAAGCACAATACTCCTGTTTACAATGTATTGGGCAGCTGCAATGAACTTTCTTAAGCTTCAAATACACTAATCACTGGTTTGAAAGTTTATGAGGTTGATGGAATCAATTCTTTGAAAGATAATTGTTTTCCACTTTATATCTGTGGAATAATCAGTACATATTACTTTTGGATAGACAGAAAATCTGATTGAAGTCTACACACATTTCCGAGGACATATTCTGAGGACTTTTCCACACTATTCTGACATAAAACTGCATTTTTGTAAAACATTTATAGAGAGGAATTACTTTTAATTCAACAGTTCACCAGCGGGACTCTCATAATAATCCACAACGTCTTGAAAAAAACACAACAACAACAGTCAAAAGACCTTAAACCTATATTAATATTTAATGTCAAACCATTATATTACATTATATTTTATTTCCCATTATATTGGGTCATGTTTTGATCAAGCACGTATAATTACACAATGTAACAAATATTTGTTGCACTTAATTTTTTTTTCTGGTTCTTCTGTAATTCTATGGTGCCAATTATTATTGTACTATTTATTTTCACGTAGCATCAATATTTTGCTAAATATTTAGGTCAGGTAAATTTTAGAACTGCTATCATTATGAAACATTGGTTTAGTACAGAGAAGTTTTTGTACTAAATTGGCATGAAAATTTTTTTTTTTTAAGATCTTTTGCTTTTGAAAGGATGGGAGCATTCTATACATTTCTGTAATATTCTAGTGCTTTCTGGAACATTCCAGTCATAAAAGACAAAAATCATCCAACGGACACTTCTGAAGTTTTTGGTGACTGACTTTTGCTAACTGTTTATGTCAAACTGTTATATATCATACTTTGATATATACTGTGGTACTGTATGATTAACATATTATACCATGATATTTACTTGATACTCCGGGGCAGTGCAAATATTATACCAAAAACCACGGAATCACGAACATGGTAACACATAGTAAAACCTACTTTTTTATGAGTGAAACCCTTCCTAAACTCAATCAAACAGTTTTCTTTTTTAAAATCGAATTCATTCTATTATAGTATCTTTAAAACTGTGTTGACACTTTATTTGGAACCCCTCTGAAGCTGATGCTTTGTTCGTATCGGTCAGTTACTTATTGAACTATAGCGGAAGCCAGAAACAAGAATATCTAATGGTAAATTGATGACACTGTGGATCATCGCTGGTCCAAACTGAATGAAATGTGAGGAAATGAGAGCTGACACTTCTCAGAATGAAACAAACGTCTTTGATCATTCAAAGCTGAATGTTCCAGAGCTCACATAAACACACACACAGATTCTGACACAGATCGATGCATGTCGAAGTGAAGCTTTAAAGCCCAAGAGGTTTACTGTGAGATCTGTATTGTAATGGTGATTGTCACATTGTGAAACTGCTTTAAGGTTAGATTGCTCCTATTCATTGGATGTCATAGCGGGTCTCTTTTGGCCTTATCTCAAATGCTCCAAAAGGCAAAGTCTGCGGTTGTGTGTGTGTGTGTGTGTGTGTGTGAGAGAGAGAGAAGGAGACAGATAGAGAGCAAATGGTACACAAAGGGCA